CTCCCATTGGCTGCCTGCCTTCTAGGCAACTTGAAGACCCCGCCCCCTTATTGCTATTGGCTTCTCTCTGAAGCCGGACCCGCCCATTGCCTGCTCTCACTGCTTGATGGCTGAGGGAAATTTAAATCGGAGCTTACCCCGCCCTTGCGGTCCTAGAACGGTCCCAGCAGGAGACGGGGCCCGGAGCTGTCCCAGCGCGCCCCCTGCCGGCTTCCCCATAGGAGGCCCGGGACCAGAAACTTGGACTTGCTCCTGGACATGCTTCGGTGTGGTCAACTATATTGCCATTCCACCCTGCATCTATTTATTCATTAAAAAAAAAAAACAAAAAACAAAAAACAAAAAAAAAAACAAAAACGGAGACTGAAGAGATGGTTCGACAGCTAAGAGCACTTCTGGAAGATTTGAGTTTGACTCTCATCTTACTTGGTGGCTCATAACTGCCTGTAATTGCTCCATCGGATCCGATGCCCTTTCTGGTATCCACGGATACTGTATGCATACGTGGTGCACAAATAAATAAGTGTTTTTCCAATGGCGCAAAACCAGGGGTAGTGGCACACTCCTAGCACATGGGAGGTTGGGGCAGGAGGAGCTGGAGTTCAAAGCCATCTTGTGCTGCATGCCAAATGCAAGCTCATCCCAAGCTACGTAAGACCTTGTGAACATACACATATATGCACACACGTATGCATCTATATACTAGGAAACTTGGGGTGACCCCTGGCAGAGGCTTTGGTACCACACTTGTTGCGTGAACTTGCTTGAAAGAGTAGAGCACAAAACAGAAAACTGAAGCCATCAAGTCCAGGCCACTCATTTGAGGTTCCAGGAGAGCCTTCTGGGTACAGGCAGGTCTGGGAGCCCCACACACACACTCCGGCATGGCCTCTTGTAGAACTCAAGCCAGTCCTATGCAGGCGAGTGTAGAGCAATAACTACAGTCAGATCAACAGGTGTTATTAAAAGGAATTTAATAATCTTAATTAAAAATCCATAACAGCGAATTCCATCACAGGCCTTGGCAGCTGGAAGTAACTCCAGGGGCACAGGCCCCTTGGGGATATGGTCAGACTCCATCTTGGAGGCATGGCGCTACTTCAATACAATATCAAAGATCCATGAGAATTTTTTTTTAAAAAAAGTTTTAAATATATTAGACTCTTTTGATTGCCATTTTTACACAAAGCTGCTGATACAGTATACAGAGTTTTAACTTTTTTCACATAAAATACATTTTTTTTCCTTAAGTGTTCTCTGTACATCAGTGGCTTCTGGTCTGGTGAGTTATTGCGGAGGGCTGGAGGTCTGCAGACTTTTCCTGGGTGTGCAGAGCCAGGCCCCGCACAGTGGCACTTGAAAGTGCCCACAAGAAGCAGGCCCTCTGGCCAACAAGGGACTCCTGTGGAGGAGAGGCCAAAGGGTTTACTAGGAAAGTGGTGGGTCACTTCAGTGGAGTTGTCCTCTGGCCATGTGACCCTGGCTTTTCTGTGCCCTGGGGAAGGGGAGGCTATCACCAGGCCACAAACAGTGAGGGTTTAGACAGTCCTGATGTCATGGAAGGATGGTCCCTCTGGAAAGCATTCTGATATCCTGCTTTGGGAGAGCAGGTAGGAGAGAAAGCTCAGGATCCAAGAGTATCAGACACTAAGAGCCAAAAATCTCACACTGTTACAAAGTTAGACTGTGTTAGGTCAACCAGGGAGTCGTATTTTACTTTTATTTATTTAATTGATTTTTTGAGACAGGGCTTCTCTGTAGAGCCTGGAACTCACTGTGCAGACCAGGCTGGTCTTGAATTCGGAAATACATTGCCTGCCTCTGTCTCTCTAGTACTGTGATTAAAGGTGTGTGCCACTATGTCCGGCTGGGTGCCACACTCTGGCAACCTTTCCAAGCATCTAAACATTCATCAAATAGTGCAGAGAAGCTTCATTAATGCTAAATATTTGATAAAGAATTATATCCCCAAAGTCTTCGGTAGACCTGGGCTTAAGAATCATTCCAATTCCATGAGCTACTGGCCAGAACCTCACAATCTGGTGATAGCTACCAATTTCTAATTGTTTAGGGAGAATAGGGTGGGTGCAAGTAGCACAGTTCACAGGGAACTGCGGGGCACCAGTTTGGAAATATATGTCTGCAGTTTGCCAAGAATGGCTACTGAGACACAGGTTCCTGGTGGGAGTGGGACATCTGGTCAACCTTGTCAAGCTTCCCCTAGCCCCCGGATCCACACTTTCCAGGGAGAGAGGCTGACACACAGGGAAAGGTTTGCTATGAAAAGGAAAGAGTAGTATTCTCACTTCTAATATGCATTGGTTGGGTAGGAGAAAAGACTATGATTTATGAGCAAAAATGAGCAAGAGATGGCTGTAAAAGCTAGGGATGTGTTTGACAGTAAATTGCAGGCTTATAATTCTTCCAGGATCTGACCTCAGACTGCCGTTATATTGTTCTCCAGGGATGCTGGCCTTAAGGTTACCTCTGAAGGCTCTAGATGGACTGGTGTGGTGTGTCTGCCTGGAACCCAAGATCTAGCATTTGCACTTAGTAGCAAATTTTATCTTGGTGTGGTCATAAAGTTGCACCCCAGCTAAAGAGATTCACACTTAGAACTGCAGGATCTGCAAAGCACAGGGGCACTGGTCTGGGATGCAGGCACTCTTATCAGAATAATGGATGCGTCTGGGGATGCCCACAGTCCACAAGGGATCCAAGTCCTTGCTGCCTGGCTGATCCACTGCAGAAACTACCACCACCATGTCTGGTGTGTCTCAGCACCTCAACAGGTTACATGAGTGAGTGAGTGGGTGGCCTTGGCTCATGCAGTGGAGGTTATTCCTCATCGTGACTCTCAATATTCCAAAGAGTCACAGGGAAAGTGCCCTGGGGACTGGGAGCCCAAACAGGGAACGTCTGTTTGCCCCTGGTGGAAAACATGAACAAAATCTCATGAGTCCACACTGTTTGAGGCTAGCTCCCACAGAAGAGGCAGCTACGTTTCCCATCCCTCAAGTAGACAGGAATGGCCCAGAGGGCAGGAAGAAGTGCTGGGGATGAAGGAGGAATGGCCTGAATGGCTCAGAGAGGGCAATAAAGGCCTTCACTCTCTGGCCCCTGAGCAAAGAGCTCCGTAACCCTGGGCAGCTGACTCCTAAGAGTATGTGGCTGGCTGCCTCGGCACTGCCCACCTTGTGGCTAAAGTCAACTTCAGAAGCATCTCAGTGTCTGTCAGAGCCAAATACTGGTTTAAAGCCACACGTGTGTGTTTTAATCATCCTCTTTCAGCCATGGGCTGCAGAACCTAGCTAAGGCTCCAGGGATTCAAGAAACTGACTCTGGTCTCATGTCGCCCCACCATGCCAGATTGCATTTGTCCTGGAGTCGGGGTGGGGGTGACCACCTTATGCACCCAGCTCCCTCCCCACACCTCTGATCCTGCTAAAGCATTACCCTGACCCAGTTAGGTCCTAACTCATCTCTAGCCTCCTGAGGTCCCAAGGCCACAGTGGGGACAGAGACCAATGGCAAGACTGACTACTAAGGTTTTGGCACAGGGGGGCCATTACAACATGGGTATCTGTCCCTTAAATCTGAATCTAGACTTAGGGACCTTCTCAGGGCTCTAAGGAGGTAGTTTAAGGACAAATAAAAGGAGCACAGAGCAAGGAACAAACTTGTAGCTTGCTAGTTAGTTACACCAGAAGATTAGAAGATTTTGGTGGAGCCTGTGTGTCGCACCCAAGGTATGGCACACAATTTCGGTGGGTTTGTGAGAGAGTGTGGTGGTGAAATGGTGTGGGCTTCCTTCCCCAACATCAGGAAGACGAGGGCAGCAAACCTGTACAGCTGGAAGGCAAGTCAACTCCAGCCATGCTACCCCTCTCCTGGACGCAGCACAGGACAGTGGCCACGGACACCTCCGTTTGCAGATTTGGGCATTACTGCTCCAGCAAAAGTGGGCTGGGATCTTTGAGACCTTCTGGCAGGAGCCAACAAGTGATCATTGGCAAACAGGTCTTACATAGCATTACAGAAAAGGCGAAGCGTGGAGGGGCGTGGGCCCAACAGTCACTCTGCACACTTGGCTGTGTAAGGCGGGAGGGTGGTGCACAGGCAAGCCGCAACTGCTCACTCAGACTGAGAAGGACTAGCTGAGATGGGCTGGACCCAAACAGCCTGGAAACCACAAGAGCCGGGGTGCTGTGTCCTATCAGTGTTAACCAGGGTGTCCTCAGCAATGCACTCATCCTTCCCTTCGGAGGCCCCCACAGATGCTCCTGATAAAATTCACTTTTCAAACACCAGACAATAAAACCCAGCCGTGACTCTGTCTCGGGAGAAGGCAAATTCAGTTACCTCCCACCTGGAATTTTACAGCCTCAAAGAAGATTTTAACCAAATGCAGTTTGGAAAATACCAATGTGTGGCACCCTACCCAACTCCTGTGCTTCCCCCAGAAGACCAAAACAAGATTTGGTTTCTTCTAAGAGTAGATGGCCTGGTTCTCAAGTGTGGCCCTTGAACAGTCAGACACCAGCCTATTGACATGCGCAAGAGAGTGGCTCTCAGTGAGGCTGCTGGGAGCAGGCCTGGACCCACTGATCTGATGATCCATATTGATTACTGGATCCGATGAAAACAGAGAAAGACTTCCTGTCCCTCCTAGGTGTGGGTGGTGGCCCAGCCAACCTGATGTGACTCTAAGCAGAACCGTGGGTCTCAACTGAGCAGGTCTGAACCCCGTGGAAGCCAATAGGTGTGCCAAGACTTTCTTGTCTTCTGGGAATAATCTACAAATTCTCAGCCCCACCAAGAGCTCAGGTGTAACATTCCCACACACTGAAGTGTGTGTGTGTGTGTGTGTGTGTGTGAGAGAGAGAGAGAGAGAGAGAGAGAGAGAGAGAGAGAGAGAGAGAGAGAGAGAGAGAGAGGGGGGGTGGGTGTTAGTTCTGGTCTCAAGAAGCNAGAGAGAGAGAGAGAGAGAGAGAGGGGGGGGGTGGTGGGTGTTAGTTCTGGTCTCAAGAAGCCTTTATAAAGTACAGAACTGAGATCCCAAGCTCAGCCTCCCTGAATCAGAGTGAGCTGGGGCCGCTATGCTTCAGATGCAGGCATTGAGGCGGGAAAGCAGCACGGAGGGGAAAAGGGATGCTATGGGCAGCTGGGCATGAGGTGAGGTCAGCATTCCTCTGAAAAGCAGCTCCCACCTCTCCCTGGCTGCCCTCTGACACCTCCCCAGCCAGGGCTGGTGTGGATTCCAAGGGCACATCTCCGAGGCAGCTCTCTCCTCTAGCTCCCAGACACTAGGAGATCCGGCAACAGCCATGGACTTTCTCCTCCATCTCCTCCATGGGGGCCTTGAATTTCAAGAGCGGGGGATCTCCGCTGGTCACCGTGTAATACACCGAGGTCCCGTTGCTGCTGTAGGGGGAAGTTCTGCCTCCGATCAAGGGGGCCTTGCCTTCACTGCTACTCTCCCCTGACCTGGCCACACTGCTGCCCAGGTGGGTACTTAAGAAAGGATGGCTGAGCAGCTTGGCTGCGGCCCGCTGCCTCTTCAGCTCCAGGAGCGTTTGGGGGCTCTGCTCCTTGAAGCTGCTCCAGGGTGGGGGGACATCAGCCACACCGGGGTTGCCATAGGCCATGCTGTAATCAGGCATCTCGTGCATCTTCCATATGTCCCCATTGGCCAGTGCGTACTGGTAGGTGCTGACAGGAGCCCGGAGGCCGTTCTCCACAGGCCCATCCAGTTCTCCCCGGGAAATCTTGGTAGAGAATTCTGAGAGTAGCACTGGCTTCTCCAGCCTGGGGTTCTGGAGGGGGGGAGGGAGAGAGGACAATGTCAGTATCACCCCCCAGCTAGAGAACCTGCACCCACCAGTCACCTGCACCTCTGCTGAGGGACTTGAGTGCTGAAACCCATCCTGCATATGTTTCTCTACCTCTATGTAGTTTTGGGGCATCTGGGCCTGAGTTATGGCAGAGCAGACCAAAGCCCACCCCAACCCCAGGGCTGAATCTAATGAACATATTTTATTGCAAATGTCCTGGAATGAGTTAATAGACAGGGCATCCGTGAAATTCAACTTAGAGACTTTTGCTAGAACAACTGGAAAGATGTTCTGTAAGAACTACAATTGGTAAGGATGCTGCAAGCTGTGGGCTGCAGAAGCACAGAGTCAAAGGTGTCCTCTCCGCTTGTATGAGAAGCTGAGATCAAGGGACACTGGTCACAGGGAGACTAACCTCTCTGTGTCTTCTGTACCCCCACCATGAACACCAAGCAACACCTGCAAGCAATGTTACTTTAAAAAAAACTACAGATTAGACAATTACAACTACACGACTGAAGTGAGAACCTAATTAGTGGAACACTGGGGGTCTTCTGGGACAGTGAAAGCATGTTGCATGACATGTAAAAATGGCGTCCACAGACGGTGCAACACAGAACAAAGTCAGGTGTGACGTGTGCATCAGTACTGGCTCATCAGGGACAGCACAGGCAGTACACAAATGCAAGACAGTAATGAAATAGAACCTAAGGGCAGTTTTCTAACTAGTTAGTTTTGTGTGAGTGTGTGTACAAGTATGAGTGTGTGTGTGTGTGTGTGTGTGTGTGTGTTGAGACAGAGGTCTCTCCCTGAACCTGAAGCTTGCCAATTCAGCTAGAATGATTGACCAGAGAGTCCCAGGGGTCCTCCTGTCTCCATCTCCCTAGGCACTAGGATTATATACCCAACTTTTTTTTTTTTTAAAGACAGAGTCCCACCATGTAGTTCTGGCTATCCTGTAGTTCAGTTTATAGACCAGGCTGGCCTTGTAGTCACAGAGATCCCTCTGCCCCTCTGCCCCTCTGCCTCTCTGCCTCTCTGCCTCTCTGCCTCTCTGCCTCTGCCTCCTGGGTTCTGGAATCAAGAGTGTGCGCCACCACCCCTGGTTGGCTTTTTTTTCCAGTGTGTGTGCTGGAGACCCACACTCATGTCCTCATTTTGCATGGCAAACACTTTACTGGCTGAGCCATCTCCCCAAACACTCCACTTATTTTTCTATAAATATAAAACTGCTTCAAATCTCAAAGTCTATTATCAAGAGGGAGAAAAAATATGTATCCAGTGTCTGCATCCATTGATTCTCTTTGTAACTGTCATTAAATCAAGATGAGGGCTCTTTCCCTGCTACTGCTGATGCTTGGTGAATCCAAGATTCAGCTTCACCCCTGCCCCATCACCACGGCCGGGGAAGATGATCCTGGCTGGAAGTGTAATAGATATCTGTACTAAGGGTGCCAGAGACTGCTCTTATCCACGATGGCCCAACCTGAGAAATTCAGGAAGCTGCCAAAGCCTTGGACAAGCGCCCAGGCCGTCTTTATGTGCTTACACCGTCTGTGAAGAACTTACATACGTAAGCACGGAGAGGCTCTTGTGCTGAGCACCAAACCAACCTAATTAGTGTTGGTGACAGGAAGAAACTGTAGGAATGGGCAAGCCTGCGCAAAACCCACCCAGATGTGAAGTCCTGTGGAGTGGATGGCTACAGTTAGGTAGTTACGTTGTGGTTAGAGACTACTGAATAGAGTCAGAGCAGAGGTCACTGAAGACCTCTTTAATGCAAGCAATAAAATTATTTGACTCAAAAATAACTATGAGAGTCTATTAGATTGGGATGGGCCCTCATCTAATGACTAGGGCCCTTATAAGAGAACAAAGGGGTCAGAAAAATGGCTTGGTTGATAAGAATTAAGACCTGAGTTTGGACTCCCAGCATCCACTAAAAACTTTGAGAGTGGTCATTCATGTCTGCAACGCTGATGCAGAGTGGGCAGACACCGGTGGCCCTCTGGAGCTCATTGGCCAGCTGGTCTAGCTAATCGGTGAGCATCAGGTTCAGTAAGAGAACCTGTCTCACAAGAAATGGTGGTAAGTGACTGATGGATATCCCGACATTGGCCTCTGGCCTGCACATGCGTGTACACTCACATGTGTGTGCCCACACCTGTAAATACACCATATAAACAAAAATATGTTTTAAATTTAAAAAGTGGAGGTGTACACATACACAAGGAAGAAGGCTTGTGAAGACAGAGGTGAAGATCAAAGTCACACTAAAGGTGAAGGGACACCCAAGCCACTAGAAGCTGGGAGGAGGCCTCAGCACAGACCTCTCCTTCAGAAGCACCAAGAGAAGAAACCCTGTCAACATCTTCATTTTAGACTTCTGAACTTCAGACTCCTGAGTATCTGCCATCTTTTTTTTTTTAACTATGTGTTTATTTATTATGTATACAGTGTTCTGCCTGCATGTATTCCTGCAGGCCAAAAGAGGGCACCAGATCTCATTATAGATGTTTGTGAGCCACCATGTGGTTGCTGGGAACTGAGCTCAGGACCTCTGAGAACAGCCAGTGCTCTTAACCGCTGAGTTATATCTCCAGCCCCAGTGTCCACCATCAAAAGTCCCCAGTGTGCCCTCTGGTACCAGAGATGAAGAAGACTATACCCCATTTTCTGAGAGTGCCTAGAACACAGGGCCACTAGCTGCTGCTGGAGCAGCTTCTAAGAGACTATCCCACAGTCCCGCTACAGTTTTCAGAATACCCCCTTCAACCAGATGGCATCTTGGTAAATACCATTCTCAAACCTTATGCCCCTGCAAGAGAAGGTCTTAGCCCTTAGCTCCTAGGGCAATTGTCATGCTGAGCCTCTCTTGTGGGAGATTCGGGATCAGACCTAGTGGGGGAACAAGCAGACCTACGGCAGTCACTCTGTCCCTGCCAAATACACCCAAGGGTCACCTCCTTAACAATATCAGCCACCACCCTCAAACAGGAGCCAGCTGTTTAAGGGTGCCACTCAGCTATTTCCTCAGATGAGGAGGTAGGTAGGACCAGGCTGGGTCCTGTACTCTTCACAAGGCAGTGGCCAACACTGAAGGAAGGCAGGAGGTCCCTTACCGGGTCCTTGTTCTCCTGGTCTGTCCTGGTCTCCCTGATGTCTCCGTTGTAGGTGGAGGTACGCTGGTCCTCTGCTGCACTCCGCTGCTGCCACAGGATGGCCTCTCCCTCATACTCTTTCCGGTACAGGTTCGTTCTGTCTGACAGGCTGGCTCGACGCACCACCTTCCTGAGGGGGACAGAGGAGGTGCTGGGAAGCTGTGGCCAGGAGCCACAGGCAGGCAGGTGCAGGGGCCCCCAATTGCACCGTACCACTCACCCACGGCTGCCTGCACTGGACGTCCTGCGGCTCAGGGATGACTTGTGCCTCAGCTGGGACTTCATGATGACGTCATGCTTGTGTTTAAGCTCCAACAGCAGGACCTTGAACTCCTCCTCCTCACACAGGTCTGAAGGAGTACAAGGGTCAGTTGCAGAAGGCAAGGTAGGGGCTCCATACCACAGAAACCACCATGAAAACATACCGAAAACTCTGAGAACCTTCTGGGGCACAGAGGGAGGGGAGAAAGGAGCCCCTGCTTATTTCCTCAGAAGAGGGTGGGAATGGGAGACCCAGGCCTCTGAACTCCTGAAGTTCCCAGCTAAGAAGACTGAGGAACTCATACCGTGCTGGTAAGGCATTGTCAACTTGATACAGACTTAGGCATATTTGGGAAGAGGGAATCTCAACTGAGGGCTTGCCTCCATCAGACTGTCGTGTGAGCAAGTCTGTGGGAACATTTTCTTGATTGATCTGGGAGAGGCCATGATGTGGGAGGTGATGTATGCTGGGAATGTGTTTTATTGCCATTGGTTAATAAAGAAGCTGCTTTTGGCCAAGGCTTAACAGAGTAGAGCCAGGCTGAAAAAAATAGAGAGAGTAGGCGGAGTCATAGAGAAGCCATATAGCCACCAGAGGAGACAGATGCCTCCACCTGCTGAAACTTTGCTGGTAGGCCACAAGTTCATGGTGATGCACAGATTAATGGAGATGGGTTAGTTTAGGATGTGAGAGTTATCTAGAAATATGCTTAAGCTATTGACCAAACAGTATTGCAATTAATACATATTTATATGTGATTATTTTGGTTCTGGGCAGCCGGGAATGAACAAGCAGCCTCCGACTACAGGGTCAGCCCACTGTTGGTTGTGCCACCCGGGCATGTGAGCCTGGATTGAATAGCAAAGCAGAGGGAGCAAGCCAGTAAGCAGCATCCCTCCATGGCTTCTCCTTCAGTACCTGCTTTGAGTTTCCTCAATGAAGGACTATGATGTGGAAGTGTAAGTCAAATAAACCCATTCCTTCCCAAGTTGCTTTTGGTCAGTGTTTTATCACAGCAACAGAAAGGAAACCAGGACACATACCCTTGATGGTCTCTGGGAGAGTCATAAAGTCTCCCTGATGTGAGCGTTGAGAGAAACAAGCAGAGTCCTCAAGCAGGAAATGAAGCGATGATGCTGAGAACTCCCCCTGACCCCACCAGCCATTCATACTGAATCTATCAACTTGTCCATCTTCTGGATAACCTGGTCCATAGGTTAATCATCCTCAGCCCACCCATCTACTTATCTATCCATTCATCATCATATCCTGCATCACATTACCTGTCTACCCTACTCATCCATTCACCCATTGATCCTCTATCCATCCATCTATCTGTCTGTCTGTCTGTCTACCTATCTGTCTATCTCTGTCATCTACTTGCCTACTTTTAGTATGCATCCATGTGTTCAATGTCTACTCAGCATCAAAAAGCTGGTAAGTATGTACATACAAAGTATGAAGTTGTCTTACCTATTGGCATCTCATCCATGGATGTCCTGGCACTGAGACTAGCTCCATGGGACACTAACAGCTCTGCCATTGGCATCTGCAACACAGGAAGAAGTTCATGTTCCCCATACCCATGATTCAAGAAGCCCAGAAGCTGGAGAAAGTACCCAAGATCTCTTAGAATGTGATCCAAAGGATGGTGGAGGAAAGTTGCTGCATGCTGTAGCCATGAGAGAGCCCTGTCAAATTTGATGAACTTGGCACCTCCTCCCAGCATGCCTGGGTTACTACAAGAAGGAGAAGCAGGAGGAGGAGGAATCAATTACAATTCCACAACTGTTGGGTGTCTATGGGTGGCTGCACAGGCTGCAATCACATTTAGGAAAACACATTCTACAGAAACCATGCAAAGCAGAAATCAAGAGAATTTTCTATTGGGAAAATCTTAGTGTTTGCAACCTCCCTGAGTCTTCTCATCTCCCATACTCACTGTAGCCAGTGCCTTAAGTGGGTCATTTGCCAGCCCAAAGGACTCTACATGGGGTGGGAAGTACCTGTCCCCAGAAGGCTGCTGCATGCAGAGGCTCCCAACCATCCCAGTCCTTCACATCCACACGCACTCCGTGGTCCAGGAGAAGTTCAGCTGCCCGTAGGTATCCATTGGCCCCAGCTATATGTAGCTGGAGGAAAGGAAAGAAGTGAGCGGTTCTGCTGGGCGATGGTGGCATACACCTTTAATCCCAGCACTCAGGAGGCAGAGACAGGCGGATCTCTGTGAGTTCAAGGCCAGCCTGGTCGAAAGAGCGAAAGAGCCAGTTCCAGGGCCTTCCTCCCAAAAGAAATGAGCATTCCTAAAGGGAATGGCTCCACATTTGGAGGCAGGTGTCCTTTCTCACCCCCAAGCCTCAGAGCATCCTCAGGGCCAGAGAATGGAACAGAATGAGGTTGTGACACCAGCCAGGAAGGTTGCAGGGGATTACTAAGTGTGAAATAGAGAAGGACAAGGGGAGGCAGAGAGGAGCTCTTCACCTGAACCCTGGAGAAGGAGTCTCAGAGGTTCGATGCAGTAATCTGAAAATATACCTACCTAGTCTTTGACACATCTTTTAAAACGTGGGATCTGATTACTCTGTATTTGAACGTAGACCACCTCGATTGGCTCACTTCTAACCAAGAGGACAATACCAAGGGGCAGGGTATGATTATGATTATGATTATGATTATGAGGGCATGAAAGGCATTGCTGCTTCTACTTTATGCTCTCTTGGATCCATCAGGGAGGAAGTAGCCATCTCATGGAACCCCAAAGAGAAGTAAGAAAGCAAGAAACAAGCCGGGCGTGGTTACACACACCTTTAAACTCAGTATTCGGGAGGCAGAGGCAGGTGGATCTCTGTGAGTTCGAGGCCAGTCTGGACTATAGAGTGAGTTCCAGGACAGCTAAGGATGCACAAAGAAACCATGTCTCAAAACGCTGCCACCCCTCAAAAAAAAAAAAAAAAAGGCAAGAAACTGAGGCCTTCTGCTAACTGCCAATACTAACATCAGCCATGCAAGGGAACCATGGGACGGAGACCCACTTCAGATGTGACTGCAACTCTGGTCAAACTCAGGGGAAATGCCAAGTCAGAGTCGCCCAGCTAAGCAATTCCTAATTCCCTGCTGCATAGAAATGCTGTGTTTACTGTAAAGATTGCCCTGGAGGGTCGGTTGTTTCTCAGTGGCAGGTAACTGACACCCATCATGGGAAGACTCATGCTGTGCTTGTTGAGGTCCCAACTAGTTTGTTTACTTATTTAGTTAGCTAATGAGAAAGGGTCTCATTCCGTAGCCCAAGACAGCCTCAACTTGTAACAGTCCTCCTGCGGCAAGTGCTGGGATTGCCGGCATGAGCCACCGCTGAGGCTGAGGCCCTAACTCTTCTCAACACCATCAAGGCTGCCTGTCACGGCTGCCCCTACGCAGGCCTCAGTTGTTCCACTTGTCCAGTCACCCAGAAAAGGAAGTGCTTAGTGCTGGGTGGAGAGCATGACCGCAAGGTATGTCATGAGAGTGAGGGAAGGAGGGGGCTGGAGAGATGGCTCAGAGGTTACGAGCACTGGCTGCTCTTTCCAGAGGTCCTGAGTTGAAGTCCCAACAACCACATGGCAGCTCACAGCCATCTATACTGAGATCTGGTGCCCTCTTCTAGCATGTAGGCACATATGCCAGTGGAACTTTGTATGCACAATAAGTTTTAAAAAGAGAGAAAAAGAAAAGAATGAGTGAAGAAGAGAAGGAAGTGAGGCAAAGAAAAACTCCTGTTCAACCACAGATGGGGACAGACGTGACAATCTCTAGAGCAGGCTGAAGACTGACTGGGAATGATGCAGAGGATGGAAAGGGTTTGGGATCCGTGATGAGAGTCACTGGGACAGATAAGTCACAGCTCAGGTTTAAATGGGACCCTGGCGGTCACTTGTTTGGTCACGTGTTTCCTCCATGAGGAGGTTGCTCTGAGGTCTGATAAGGGCAAGTTTTCTTTGCTTCTTTAACTTTTTGGAATAAACCTAGGGTATGGTGTGAGTAAGTAGCACACGCAGATTAGCAGAATCATGGGTTTTATAAGTCTGAGGCTTGTCAGCTGTGGAAAATGAAACCTCGCTGGCTAGCCAGATCCCTCAGAGTGCAGGGTCACAGGAGGTTCGTAACCAGGGAATAAAAAGCATAATTCATACGGGGAGGAGGAGGAGGGTTGTCAGAGCCAGCATGGTGGCACTTGCCTGGAGTCCCATCACTTGGGAGGTAGAGGCAGGATTGTGAGCTCAATGTCAGTTTGAACTGTAGAGCAAGACCCTGTCTCAAAGATAAATAAATAAGGCCTGAGAATATATCTCAGAAGTATAGCATTTGCATAGCGTCCATGAAGAGACACAGAGATAGGGAGGCGATTACTATCAGTAAATAAAAAATGAGTTTTCAGACTGTGCTCAATGCCAGTTAATGTTAACACAATAACTATGTGTTAACTGGATGGACAGACAGTGGATAAATGGGCAGAAAGATGGACAAATCGATGGATGGATGGATGGAGTGATGGATAAAATCTGTTACAGTAACCTCAGGGAGAGCTGAATGAGGAAGGCTGTGGTTTTCAAGGGCATAGCAGGCAGGGACTGGATGATACAAAGCAAGACTGTGTGGGTGAGCAGGTGAAGGGCAGTCTTTGAGGAGAGTGTAGGTGCTGCCATGGAGACAGGGCAGATGGGCATCAGAGCCCAGTCCCAGAGCTCCTGACTCCCAGCCCCAGGTGAGAATGGCCAGGGTCTATATTCGGGGAGCGGCAGGGGGTCTAGAGGAAGCCCAAGGACACAAGTGTATAGGCTTTCACCATTACCATGAACCAGACCCAACTCAGTCAGCCCCAGTGGGTCTTGGTTCTGGTACCTGTCCCCCACCCACACAAGCCTGACCTATCTCCTCACCAGCGTGGCCCCCTGGGCATCTATCCAGTCAAGGTCCTGGCCGGCGGCAATCATACAGTGAATGTCTGCTATCATCTTCTGCTCAGGAGCTGCCCGCATCTCGTTGATTTTCTCCTGGGTGATTCCTGCAGGGGTGTGAAAGATTACTCAACAGCATCTGGTCTGGGTCCCAAGCAGACAGGGAAGACACGGCTTCTGCTCCCCAAAGTCTGCCAGTCACCCAGTGCAAAGATCATTGTCCCAGGCCTGTTGAACACAAACACCACGGGTTACCTCACAGGACAAGGGCTGCTCCTTCCTGGTACCTAGAAGGCTTCTTATTGACATCACTCAATTTCTGCTTGCTGTCCTCCCTGCTAGGCTGGAGCACCTGCCTGCTCACCTCCTGCTGCCCCAATTGCTACTCTGCCTCATTCTTTGGGTGCTGATCTACGTCACCTCCCCAACTATTACCCACTGGCCACCCTTTCTGACCAGGGTCTGTTGGTTTCCTTTCTCTTGTATACTATTGTGTTTTCAGTACCGAATGCAACAGTTAAGACATTTTTTTTGTTGTTGTGAGAATATCTAAATCAGTGAATATATTACTTTCAAATAGAGACTTGAGTAAGAGATAGAAGGGCTCAGAAAGACTTTTGTATTTTGTTTTCTGAGACAGAGTCTCACTTTGTAGGGCAGGCTGGACTCAGACTTGTGACAATTCTCCTGCCTGAGCCTCCCATATGCTACTATTACAGGCACACGAGCCATTCCAGTTCCAGAAAAGTATGTTACAGCCCATATATATCTCTGGCTAACAAAATTGTGCCTGTCACTGGTAGCTACTGATTAAAGAAGAGACCACAATGTCCCATTAAAAACAAAAACAAAAACAAACCCATGGAATCAAATATCCTTGGGTACAATTCGGGGCAATCTGCAAACTTGAAGGGAGAAAAGAAAAGGTTACATTCTTACTTTGACTTCACCTAAGTTAGTACTTCCCACCATCAGACTAATTATCTGTGCCTATAAGCCTATGGCCAAGAGAAAATCGGGGTAATTTCATACCCCAACATCTGATCATCAAAAGAATTCGTGGCTTCTATGCAGCACATTTTAAAATATTTTGGCAGCTATATTGAAAGATGACCCAGGTGGCATCCTTCATACTCTGGCAACTTTATAACTCCACTGGGGAGTCTTTAGTTTCAGGTAGTTTGGCATAAAAATTATTAAAAACTTTCTATAGGAAATTAGTGGGGAAATGCAGGTACCAGGAAATACAGCAACCCAGTCAACAGGGGCCACAGAGATCTGGGGAGAAAAGAGGTGCGGACCTCACAGGACCTTGGGTGGCAGGACCTTTGGCTGCAGCTACATGTCTGGATTTAAGACCCCTTTTACTAGTGAGTGCCCTGCAGGGATGCATGGAGGGAGCTGGGACTGGCAGGTGTCTCTCGCTGTTACACGTGCTTCCCTATGAAGCTCACTGCGAGCCGAGAACAGCCCACATGTTGTTTATCTGGGCCCCTGGCAGCCAGCTTGGTGCCTGGCACCGAGCAGCACCCGCAAATGTTCTTGACTTCTTACCATGTTCCCAAATGGGGACACATCTTTATGGTGAGTGTTGACTGAACTGGATTGTCACAGCTGACAAACAGAAGAGGAGGCCAGCTGAGGCCGCCTGCGTGTGTGGGTGACAGGGAGAACAATATCTCCCTCTACACGGCATGTGTTCCAAGGCCCTTTCATGTCCCTATCTTTTAATCAGACGGATGACAATAATAACAAGGACCTGTCCCAGTTATTGGGAGCTAAGCACGAGGCTGGCAGGTACAAAGCCAGCCATTCCCATCCACTGAAACCATGTTCGCTGCACTGTGCCCATGGTGTAACATGCTGCTCCTCCTTGCCTTGGTATGCCATGCAGGTCTCGATGACATCCAGGGTGGGTTCATCCTCGCAGAGGTCATATGGCATGTTCCCATCAGAGTTGACAGCAAGCAAGTCAGCCCCACTGCAGAGAGAGGGTCAGAGTGAGAGCCAAGAAGGTGTGTCTGGGCCGGTCTAGCTGCCTCCATCATCTGGCTAACCATTCACAGCCTCCTCCAGCAGACATGACCCCACCTAGGTGCATCCCAGCTAAGCAATGCCCTTCCTTTCCCACCATATCCTAGGAATGCAGTGTTTCCGCATCTCAGGGTCCCATCAGGAAGGGACCAAGGTCTCAGATGAGCTCCATCAGCGGATGGACGCTTCCAGGCAGGTGTCAAAGCCCTCTCCAATGGCAATAATAAAAAGGATGTAAACAGGACATCTCACCTGCTACCTGCTTGAAGCCAGGCTAGATGTAAGTCCTTTGCACACACTGCCTTAAGGAGTCTCCCCCAAGGGGTACTACTGGGGGCCTCAGCTCACTCAAGAGGAGACAATGACTCAGAAAGGCTCAATCATGTATCTCAGGCACACAGATTGGATATGGCAGGATCAAGATCCAAGCCCAGTTCTCTCCTGTGTCAGCCCTTTTTACTCCATTCTCCCTAGGACAGCCTTCACCAATATGCATATCATCCTCTTCAGTCCCTTATCCAAAGAGCTGACCAGGACATGGGCAGAATAGAGCCTTGGGGCCCCATGGAAGAACTCACCCTCCAGGCCAATAGAGCCTGATGGGTAATTCTAATCTGACATGACCGAAAATTGCCTGGGAAGAATCTCAATAAAGCCTTAGCTAGATTGGGTTGATCTGTAGGTATGTCTAAGGGGGAGTGCCTTGATTGCTTTAATTATGTGGAAATACCCAGTTTAAAAGTGAGCAGCAGGGGCTGGAGAGATGGCTCAGCAGTTAAGAGACACTGGCTGCTCTTCCAGAGGTCTTGAGTTCAATTCCCAGCAACCATATGGTGGCTCACAACCATCTGTAATGTGATCTGGCGCCCTTTTCTGGCGTGCGGACATATATGCAGGCAGAATGTTGTATACATAACAAATAAATAAATAAATCTTTTAAAAAAAATGAGCAGTATCATTTCTGGGTTTGGGGCCCTGGATCACATAGGAGTAGAGAAAGCTAACTGAGTGCTAAGCAATATGTACAGCCATTTCTCTCTGCCCTTGGCTGCGTGACTAGCTGCTTCAAGTTCTTGCCTTGATTTCCCAACAATGAGGGACTGAAACCAGTACTGTCAGTCACTGAATAAATAGACCCTTTCTCCCCTAAGCTGTGTTCTGTTTCGACCGCAGTGGCAGAGACTGGAGCAGTATCCAGGTGTGACTATGGGGCACTCCATGGCAGAAAAATTAAATGCAGCCCCATGCATTCTTCCCACTACCCCTAAAGAATACAGGGAGCCTGGGAACGTGTATTGTACACGCATGCCTCAGCTACTTCCAATACAGACCAGCAGGAAAGTACATGAAGCCAGGTTGGCACCACTCCGACCTCAGGGCCCTCCTGGGAGGCACCTAGTGGGTCTCTGACGCTCTGCCAGTACCTGTGTGATGGTTGCCTGCTCTTCACCCCTTCTCCTGACTCCCTGCGCTCAGATACTGTCAGTCTCTGGGACCCCACCCACTGGTCTTGTTTTCCTGTCCCATGGGCCCAAGATCGATCGGTCAACATGTGAAATGGAAGGGGAACTGGGAAAGCAGTAAATAAATCCCTTTAAAACAGGGAACACACAGAGAAGGGGACTTTGGGGAGGAAGACAGAGAGAAGGAAATTGATGGGGGGGGGGAGGGGAGATGGAGGGGGAATGGAAAGGCATGAAGGAGGGAAGGAAGGAAGACTAAGGCACGTGGAAAAGGCCATCTGTGGAGGGGGAGGGCAGGCTGCCCCGAGGAGGGAGGGGCACGTACTACTGAACGAGGATCTTCACCAGGTTGATGTGGCCGCAGGTGGCTGCAGCGTGCAGGGGAGTCCACAGCTCGTTGTCCTTGGCGTTCACGTTTGCACCATGGGAAAGCAGCAGCTTGACGATTTCTTCAAAGTTGTCAATGCAGCACTGGGGGGGGGGGGGACACGGAGGCGGCAGAGAGAGGCCAGGCGTGGTCCAGGGCCCTGGTGGGGACACACCACGCTCCCCACAACAGACCATGAGAAGGACAGTGGAGACAGACAGCCTGAGTTCGAATCCAGCTTTGTTCCTTTGGGAAAGGCACTCTGCCTCTTAGAATCAGCCTCCTTGTTGAGTAGAAGAGAAGCTGATAACGTGCAAGATAAGACAACCTCTGCAAACAGTCCCAGTCGGCTATCAAGGGTTTTTATGAGTGTCAGTGGAGCTGCATTCAACTTGAATGAGCTTTTAAGATCCCAGACGGCTTTCTCCAGGCAGCATCCTAAGGGGAACTCTTAAATCACCCCCTCAGCTCAAGCAGGATTGCTCGGGTGTGTTTGGGTCCCGGCCCACACCCTCCATCACCCTGCATGGTTGTTTGAAACTTTTAATCTGGCCTGGGACTGCAAACCCTGCAGAGATTCCCAAGTGACCAAGACTCCTCCCAGCAGGTGCTGGGGGTCCTGGCATGGTCACTTCAAGGAGATAGACTGGATGGAGTTGTGGGCACAGGTGGGTGAGCCTAAGTGAGGTAGGAGGGTCCAATTCTGCAGCTCCCCCAGAGAACGCAGGTCCCAGGGACAAGGAGTGAAGGATTCCCCAAGGGACACAGCCTCACTCAGGGAGAATAGAGGTGGGGACTGAGGATGGTGTCAGTGGTCACTCTGTGGTGTATTGGGAGACATGAGCTCACCCGCCTGTCCAAGTAAGCCAGGTTTGGTCTTCAGAGCAACGGGGGACAGGGGTGAGCTGCACTCATAAAACTAGCACAACCTGACTTGTTTATTAAAAAAAAACAAAACCAAAATACATTTCACTCTTCTGGTTCCATGTGGGGGACAGTGTGTGTGTCTGTGTCTATGTATCTGTGTGTGTCCGTGTGTGCGCACGCACGTTGGGAGGGACAGAAAGAAGCTATTTTGAAGTCACCGAGTTTAAAGATGGCGGTGTCCTGGCCAGCGTAAGTAAATGCATGAACACACGAAGAAGAGCATGGAGACCAGCAGAAGCATCGGCGGCATCCATGTGAGCTCATGACCCCAGATGGTTGTGGAGTGGGACACCACCACAGCTCCCAGCATCGCCAGCCAGGATGCTACGCCAGAAGAGCACGCAGGAAAGGAGCAGCCGTGTGCACAGATGGTGCCAGAGAGCCAGTGCTTTCTGCCAGCTGGTCTAGCATGTCTGGCTCCAAAGGTGCTTTTCTGGACAGACAGGGAAAGAAAGGCACAGTCCATGGGGCTGTACTGTCTTAGGAGGGCAAACCATGCAGTGGCAGAACAGAGACAGTAGAGGGAGACACAGGCACTGGGGCCAGGCATAGGTAAGAAAGAAAGGCCTGCGTGGGCACCCCTCTGTAGGAAGGAGACAGGAGGACCAGTAGATTGATTGCATACCCAGAGCTATGGAGTCGTGTGAGACCGACCCTAGAGCTGGCGCAGGGGCGCACATGCCGAGTGGTGTGGAAGGGGGAGGGGGAGAACGGGTGCGGGGAAGCAGGCTCTGTAGTCACTATAGAGCCACAGTGGGAAGTGGCACCTGCAGTGGCACCTGACTCCTCCTGCCTCTTCTCTTCCAATACAGAGCCAGCTGAGTGTTTGTCTTCCAAGTGTTTGTCCCCATCCCTGCCACCCAGGATGCCCAGGGCGTAATGCCTCAGTTCTACCTCCAGATGCCCTCTGCTTCACTGTATCTAGCCTTGCAGCTTGACATCTGCAAACCTCAGAAGCTTCCCCACGTCCAAGAGAAGCAGACCTGCTCTCCTTGGCTAGCCTTGGGAGGCTCTGCGGGTGCGCCAGCCTTCCCTGTTGCAGACAACAGCAATGCACAGCTGGGCCATCCCAGCATGCCACCTCCTTGTCAACAGAAGTAGCCGATACTTTCGGAAGACCTAGTAGAGTCGGGCACTAGGATTCGCTTTGGCCGTTCACTGCAGCATTTAACCCTCCAAATGGGCCTGAGGGTCCTCTCCCCAACACTGGCCCGGAGAAGCAGAAAGCCACCCACAGGGTAAGAAATAGATGCGCTTACGTTTGCAATCCAGCAACACCCAATTATCTCAGTACTAGGGATCGTTAGTTCGAGACTAGCCTCGGCTGCACAGTAAGAGCCTACAAACTTTAAATGAATAAAAACACAAGGTGCCCACACAATAATAAAATCAACCAAAGGTCCTGTTCTCAGCCCGGCCAGTCCTGCCTCCTGCTATGCTTTCTAACTACTCCCTCCAAGTCACACGGGAAAGGGTGGGCTGTTCCCTCATGCCTCTGTGGGTGCTGCCCCTGCTCTCATGCTGTTCCTTTTCTTTCTGGAAAATTCTTTCTCACACTCATACATGCAAACTCTTACTTCAAGCCCGAGTGCAGGTGTCCTTCCTCTTCGGAGCGTGTCTCGGTTCTCCTCTGAGGCAAGCTACCAGCCCCCCAGCTGCAAGCTGTCTAGAGACCTCTGCTCCCCCCCCCCCGTGTGAACGCTGACCACACTGTGTTACCTCGGCTGTGTGTTTCTGTGCCTGTGGCCACATCACACCACACAGTCTGTAAGCACAGACATGTCCTAACTCTCTGTCTCCAGCAGAGCATCGGACACAGGAGTAGGTGAGCAAAGAGGAATTGCTGGATGAGCGAGAATGAGAGTCTATGGGCCAGCGGGGCGGGGGGGGGGGCTCCTACTAAGGACCGTCCCACAATGGAGCCCGAGGCAAGTGTGGGGTGGTGATAGAGTTGGGGTAAGTTCTTCAGTTAGGCTCAGACCCTGGAGAGGTTTTCCCTCCTGACACACTCAGAGGCCCAGTGGCCCCCAGGAGAAGCCAGACCTGAGGAAGTCGTGTGGATCAACAGGAAGAAGAGGAGGTGGAGTGTTGAGAAATGGAAGGAACCCCAAGCCCAAGGGAGGGCCCCACAAAAGAAGTTCACGGAGGCAAGAACAGCACCTAGAGGAAGCCCCTGAGACTCTGCTGACCACTGTATCCAGAGAGTCAAAGCTGCTGCTGTTAACCCTCGCTCAGCCACGATTCACTGTTTGACTTAGAGCCCAGAGATTTCACATCTAACACAGCCAATCTGTATTTAAATTCACTAAAATTAAATAAGAGTTAGAATCCAATTCTTGTCGCATTAGTCACATAACTCTGTGTCCACGCAGACACATGGAACATTCATTCCCATCTTTGTGGAAAGTTCTACTATAGAATAGGGCTGCACCTGAGCCTCAGTCTTTTGAGATGTAAAATGGAAACACCAGTGTTTTAGAGGGTCGCTATGAGGATCAAAATGAGATAGACCACTGAGGTAGCCACGTGATAAACTGTAATCATAACTCAAATCTCTTAAAAAATCATTCAAAATCTTTAATTATGTGTATGTGTAGGTATGTGCATATATGCATGTAGGAGCTCGTGGAGGCCAGCAGAGGGAGCCAGATCACCCGGACTGGAGTTACCTACAGGTGGTTTTAAGTCTGAAACAACCTGGGAACTGAACTTGGGTCCTCTGCAAGAGCAGTATGTGCTCTTAGCAGCAGCACCTTCTCTCCCATCCCAATGAATGCATATTCTGTGCTGCTCACAGAGGGTTTCCCAGGTGATCATTTCATCCTCTCTATGACACAAAGGGATGGATACTGTTTTTTTTTTCTTTTTTCTCACAGGTGAGGAAACCAAGGCACAGAGAGCTTAAGGAACTTGTCCAAGGTCACAGGCTAGTGAATGACAGTTCCAGGCCTCACATCTGACTCTATCCTGACAGCCATCCTATCCTTATGCCCCTAGCTAATGCTGCCCAGCCTCAGAAGTTGCCTTCCAGGTCTCAGATCTGGGGTGGACTGGGGGTCTTGCCCGTGGAGCAGCCTCAGCATTCCAGAGTGAATGAAGCTGGGGTTTGGGTGATTTCCATGAGGCCACAGAGCCAATGGCTTAAGTGGGGGTGCCGGAGGCCCTGGAGGACAGTGAGGATGAAGAGCCCATGCAGACAGCCCTTAGGCTCAGAGCTGAAGGCTGTGGGCAAGACCTTGTCCCAGCATCTTACGGGCAGAGAATGTGTGGCTTGTCTATGTCCATGGAGCTCCCATTGCCTGACTGCTCCCCACCAGGCTGCACACAAGTTATCTATCTGCTCACAAACTCCGGTGACGGCCCAGGGAAGCTTCAGTGCGGCCATTCACCGACTTCAACGTGCACATGTTAAGTACCTACTGTTCATGAGCACAGGAACAGATAGAAGAGGCAGGCTGGTGAGGTGACCTCAGAGTGCCACCCTAATGCCAAATGATTAGAGAGAAGGGATTGTTGTAAAACAGCAGAGAGGGACTTTGGTGGGCCAAGGGGCCACACAGTGGGTGAGAGTCCACGGGAGGTGAGGGATAGACACGCCATGCAGGCAGAGCTTGTGTGGGAGTTTATTCAGATAAAGGGGGTGGTGGAGGGGAGAGAGAGAGATACAGAGAGAAAGAAGAGGCAAGGACCAGCCTGCCTCTTCAGAAGAGCAGTGGGAAAAAGAGAGCGGGAATGGGTGGAGATTGTCTCTTACAGAGACCTTTTGCCCCTGCGTACATACATAGTGGCATAGCAGCCACAGGACCCTGAGCTGGCCAGGATACTGCCTGGGTTCATCCTGCCAGGTGACAAGGATCAGCATAAGCCTGAGTCCTAACAGTGGTCACGTGGAAGACTAGAGTGCTTGTCACCACCCAGCTCTTAAGCTCTCTGTGGGGACAAGAGCTAATAAGTGAACACACAGAGCAACGTAAAACAAATGGTGGGAAGGAGACCACAGTGTGAGACAAGGCAGTGACCCGGCCTGGGAGCTAGGGGAGGGGCAGAGACAGGACAGGGCAGGCCCTAAAGGTCTTGTGCAGAATAGCCAAGGTTTGTCCTTTTCCCTCAGGGTTAGGAAGAAGATACTAGAGAACTCCAAACTTTCAGCCTTTGGAGAAGCAATTATGGCAGGACTCAGCTGAACATTGGGGCCAGTTAGGAGGCCATGGAAGGCAAAGCTTCCATGTGGGTGGGGCCAGCCAGGGAGAGCTGTCATCACACTCCATGCATTTGATAGCACGTGCTTCCTGGCCAAAGGTCTTGGCCACGTGACCTTAAACAACAGAAGTCACTCAGCTTTGTCCTCGGGGTGAGTGGGATGTCCTGGTGGCTGTGAATGCACTTTGTCAATTTTCAACTTCGACACAAATTTTCTCTGCTGGCGGTGAGGACACAGAGAACAAAGAACCCCTGTCCTCAGAGCCTGTCTCTGTACACGTGTGTACGTGCACCAGAGGCTCTAAGGGCCTGTTTGTGACAGACACACACATCCCCAAAGGACAAAAGCCTTTCAGCTGGGTTCTCTGTGCCCTTCTCTCATTGTCCCCTCTTCCCTGAGGATTTGGGGCACCAGTTACCAGGGAGCAGAGAGGCCAGGGGACCCCAGAATGGCCTACTTACCTGGTGCAAGGCTGTGAGGCCATCCTCGTTACACAAATCAGGGCTGACCTTGTTCTTCAGGAAGTAGCGTACTGCAAGAGGAAGGGACAGGAGTAAGGTTCCTGTCACACATATGTGGGAACCCAGCAAGACGCCCTCCCCTAGACCCCAACACAAATGGTCTTGTTTACTCCCAACAGAAGGATAACAGGATGTCAACGGTGTTCCCATTTCACAGATGAGTAAACTGGCACAGAACCTAGGTCTTCGGTTGCCTGTCTAATCCTGGGTCACACATACAAGGGCTGACGACTGTCATGTCTTCCTCTGGGCCAGTCACTGATCTGAGCTGTTGGGGGCTTTGTTCTTGGCAGTGCTGGAGATGAGGCCTCATGCATGCTAAGCAAATACTCTACCACAGAGCTACATCTGTGGCCTTTTTGTTGTTGTTGTTTTGAGAGAAAGTCTTGCTAAATAGCCCAGGCTAGTCTGGAACTTGCTATGCAGCCCAAGGAGCTCTCAGATTCACAATTCTCAGCTTCCATCCAGAAGAGCTGGACCACAGGGGGTATACTACCCCTGGCTGAGATGAGAAGTTGGCATGGGTTGTCAATATGGAACACTTTTTTGTCCCCAAAGCCATACCCTGGTTCCTGACAGGGCAAGCATGGTCAACATACGTTCCTCTCCTGTACATGGAAATGATGCTGACTCTACCTCACACGGGATTATATGGCATCAAGTAAGCTATGTCAGGGACTCAGCATACTGGCCAGCTCATGGTTTGTAGGTATCTCTGGCTATGCCTGGTTTTATTACCATAGCTGTATCCTGCCTCCACCCTTGATGGCTTGCCAATGGGGTGTCAAATGCCTTCTTTGGCTCTACTGAGCCTTGGGGGGGGGGATGGTAGAGGTTTTACTATCTCTGTCCTAGACTTTAGGTGCCCATATGCCCATCACATGCATGTGTATATGTATGTATTTGTGTGTGCCCAGAGGTGGTGGGTGGGTCTGGGGAGTGAGGAAAACCAGAGTATACACATGGTATTAGGGAGCCCCTCTCCCCTCCCCTCAGTGTCCTTTGTCTTTGTCTTGTCTCACCCAGGATCTCAATATCAGCTAGAAGCCATGTGCAAAGGATAAAAAGGAGAGGCTGGCCTGTCTGTCTGTCTGTCTGTCTGTCTGCGGCTGCTTCCCGGGCTCAGCAATGGGGGCTTCACCCTGCTTAGCACAGAGGGATTCCCTCATTCCAGGCTTCAGCTATGTCTCTCTCCGCAGAAGAAGCTGCTCATGAGGTGAACAGCAGAGTCCACTGGGGTCCACAGCTCTCTCTTCTAGGCTTTCTAAAACACTAAATGGCCCTAGCCAGCAGGGCTGCCCCAGCTCCTCCCTGGACAAAGCTTCCCTGGTGGAAGTGAGTAGGAAATGGTGATTCTGGGCCAGAGGGCCAGACAAGGGGCAGCTCACATAGATGAGCTGTGTATGCACACTGCTTTACGGGAAAGGTCACTGTCATGATGCTAATGAAGAAGGGGCATGAGACCCTGCAAGAGAGAGGCACAGGCTGGCCATGCCCTGCTGAACCTCCTCCCCCCATAGTAGCAATGAGACAAGGCCACATACCAAATACCTAAGGAAGCCAGTGTCACCAGTAAGTGGCTCATGCAGCCAGCAGGGCTAAGGAAGTCTCCTCAATAATGCGCCTCTGGAGGAGGGAGCATGTTTAGGAGAAAGCTGTGGCATTCTGTAGGACAACCGTCAATCAAGAGCCTCAGAGGTGCCAGGAAAAAGACAGGGATAGACACCAGGGCAGTCTTCAAGGAGTAGGGGGTAAGGTAGCCACTTAGCTCCATCCTCAAAGACCCTGTGCCTAGACCACAGCCCACTGCACTCTGACCTCAGCATGGACAGAGAGGCCTGTGTGAAGGGGAAGTGGAGGCCTCAACCCAGCAAGAAAATGTCTCCAGCAGACTCGCCCAAGAATCACTGCACAGGTGTGACAGGACTCCTGGTCCCAGAGGGATCCTTCAGCTGCACTGCCCTCTATGGAGCCATGAGCTACATCAGGCCATGGCGGCTATTTCAATAGGAACTAACAAGCACATAGAACCCAGTGTCCATCACTCTGCTCAGCAGCCACATGGGGTACAAAGTAGAAAGAATAGAAGTCATGCGTGCCTATCTTCCTAGAAAGTTCTAGGGGACAGCGCTGCTTTCAGGCATTGCAAATGGAAAACCGTTTCATCACAAAATGCTCAAGCCTTTCTCTGTCTTTCCTCCCCCACTGCTCTGAAACTAGCATCCTCAAGTCCTGCCTTGGATACAAGGTTTGCATGATAAAATCTCTGCTTCAGGTCACTGCCTTGCCCAATTTCACGGGACGCCATTCATATTGTGGTTTGGAGACTTGCTCCTCTCCAAGCTGTGCAGCGAAGGGCTTATGAGTTAATCCTGCCCATCTGCCTCTCTACCTCCATTTCTTGAACTCCTAACATTTTCTGCAACAGTAGTTCGTGTCAGCTACAATAACCGCTCTTCATCTGACCGCTGTGCTCCTGCATATCCTATTCTGGTTGCCTGGAAGACTCAACTACCTCTGCATCCTTGCATATATCCACCAATTCAGGCATGCATGCATGCATCTATGCACCATAATCTAGGCACCTCCCTAACATGCATGTGAGCACATGTGCAATGGTATACATACACACATACATGTGTACACATATGTGCCCCATTCCTCATCCCTTAGGTCTCACTCAAACTCTCTGGTCCCTTCTTGCTATACATACTCATGGATCCCAGCATCTTATGATATCCCAGCCACACCTGTATAACTGGGAACTTACAGGTTTTATATCTGTCTGCCTGCTGAACACTAGGCCCAAGAAAGCAGGAATGTAACTTGGTGTTTATGACTCTATTCCTAAAGCTTGACACACAGTGAACCCTGGGGAACTCCTCCAGGACTTTGACATCTTTGGCAGTTCCCTAGCTCAGTTCAAAGACAGTCTTGGGGGTGGAGAGATGGCTCAGAGATTAAAACGCATTTGCCGCCCTTGCAGAGGATCCAGGTTCAGTTCCCAGCACCCAAGAGGCAGCTCATAGCCATCTGTGGCAGCTCATAGCCATCTATATTTCCAGTTCCAGGGAATCCAATGCTCTTCTAATTGTCCACGATGGACTGCACCCTGGAAGTCAACCCAAGGGGCTTTGTCAGACGTTATATAAGAAATTACTAACACAGCCACTGACCACCCTAGGCCTAGCTTGTGTCTGGGCTGGCAATGGTGTCCTGAGCCTAACAGGTAGTTCTGAGGAGGGAAGCGGCCATTATGACCCAGTCGGGAAAGTGTTTCTAGAAGGTTCTGCTCACATGAGCAGATTCAGGTTGACTAGTAGCTGATGGCTCAGGCTGCCTGTCCAGAAGACTCTCTGAGGCAGGAAATAGGCATCAGCCGCCAACAGCAGCATTTGCACAGTCATTATCGGGGGGCTCTCTGCACTGTGTGGGAGCCCAAGCCATGTAATTACCCTCAAGTCGGGCAGTTATTTTCATCCCGAGAAGTGGGACAAATCATCTCCAGCTCTAAGAAACCCTTAATACCCACGAGCCAAGGCTGCCTTGGCAGCTCTCACTAGGAGGCCAGAGCCTGGCTCTGAGCCCAGCTCCCGGAGCAAAGCCCCACTACCCTGCACACAGCCAGCTCCCCGTTCTCTGTGCTCAGCAAGAAGAGGGACTCTGGGCTTGTCTGCTCAGTGGTTTTTTTGTTGTTATTTTTTGAGCTGCTGGGATTAGAAGCCAAGGTTCTACTACTCAGATCCATGAACCAAGCTGATGGTTGCCATGGGGAGGAAGGGATGCTTCTGAGGCCAGCTGAACATCAGATAACCCCTCTGCCTCCTAGACAACAGGGTTCCCATCCCCACAAGCAGGACAGAAGAAACACAGCCTGGTGATGGGTCACTTACCCTGTGTTCATCCCAGAGCAGCAGAGCTGAGCATCACAATAGACTGTGGAGCACCCACTGCCTGCGACATGTCCTGCAGCAAGGTCTGCAGAGGCTTAGCTTTCAAGGGCCTACAGAGTGTGGCCCCACATAGGGCTCGCGTCTCAACCAACTCAGAGGCCAGATTATTATTTTCATCATAGTCTGTGTGAACGGCATGCTTTGAAGTTGCACGTGGCCTGTTCCACCATCTGAGATCTTCCATTTACCTCTCTGGGTTCATGTCTTACTCTAGGAACATCCTGAACAACGTGGGAAGGCAGACTGGGGTCTAAGGGACATGCTTTCTCCTCTAGCCAGGAGTACCAGCTTCTCTCCTGCTTGTTCCACCTTGCTGCCCCCTGCCCAGCTTTCAGGCTTGGTCATCAGTTTATCAGAGTGAACCATCCGTTCTCAAGTACAAGTTTAGCTGTGGCCTTCAGCCTTCAGGTCCTTAGCTATAAAGTGGGGAGCAAAGGAGGGTTTCTTTTAAGGTGCTATGAGGATTTAGTAAGAGCAGGCCTAAGCACTACTGTGATCAGTTCCTAAGAGAATAACCACTGTAACTGGCGAGCTACACCTGGGTCCTACCCGGGCTCGGCACTGGGTACTGGGGCTGTTCCCATGGGCACTGAGAATCACCCACAAGCTTTCAAACCATCCTCCCAGACAGAAGCAGCCTCTCTCCAGGGAGCTCTAACAAAGGCAGGTTGAAGACCACAGAGAGGCCTTGGAGGACATCCCTGTTCCCCAGTGGGCAGAACACCAAGGAGATGGCAAGAGGTGGCTCCTGCTCCCCTCCCCTCCATATCTTGCTCCTGGCACCCCCCTGCACTCCACCCACACCTCCCAGGCAATCTGGCTGGAATCTGGGCCAGCAGGACCATCTGCTCTTTCCCTTCTCCAGCTGCAGCTCAGGGCCGCATGGGGGCCTTCTCCGGAGGAAGCCGGGAGCAGCTGCCTTTGCAGGCAAAAAGCCTCACAGACGAGACTGCGCTTTCCTCTGACTACTGACCCACCTTGTCCCCTAGAACTCATGGCTTGACCGCGAGCTGGAGAGTGACCTGCAAGCTCAGGGGTGGGTCCTGCTCCTGCACCGA